TGTAACTGTCGGCAAGAGATGCGGACCACACAGCTGGGCCCTGGGCGCTTCCAGATGACGCAGGAAGTGGTCTGCGACGAGTGCCCTAACGTCAAGTGAGTGAAGTCTTCTCTGTGCTTCTTCCAGTAAACACCTGAAAGTCTCATTTGTCTAGTAAAACTCTTATTGTCTGTATTTAGCTGTCTCCCTACCATATTCTTCCAAAGGACAGAGCAAAGAAATGTGCGTTTTAAAGCTCTTTCCTGCAGTGTTTCTTGTAAATATCGCCCTGTAACTTTTAAACTAGTAAGCAGTGCCCTTTACTTCTGAGTATGCTTGACGAATGTTAATGTTTTGTTTCTTCCTCCTTGGACTGTTGGAACGATCTTGCATGTTTTTATAATACACAGTAGCTTTACCCTGACACGTGGCATGTAGAAGAAGTGGAAAAATCTCAGAGAGCTTTGTCAGGAGAGGTGTAATAAATTCTTTAAGAAAAAGGCTCACTAGAATAGATAAAACTTTATATGTATCTGGGGTTTCATTTGTATTTTCTTTTTTTTAAATTCTGTTTGTCTCAGACTAGTGAATGAAGAACGAACACTGGAGGTAGAAATAGAACCCGGCGTGAGAGATGGCATGGAGTACCCCTTCATCGGAGAAGGTGAAATAGTGATGCCTTGCTTATCGTAACTGTTTGTGCTGCTTATGAGTACCTCTCACTTCTGCCTCACCGTATGTCTCATATGGCTGCATAGTCTACACATTTATAATTTCTAATACTCTTTAGCCCGTTTTAGGATATTATAACCAGTTATAATAGCATTAGCATTACTGTTCATCCTTTGAATATCGTGGCCAAAAGTTACTGTCAGGTAGCCTAAGTTTTATCAGAATGTAGCATTCCTTGATCTTAATGGATTCACTTTAACTTGGTAATAAAGGAAGATGGGGGCTGGGGATATAGCTCAGTGGCGTAAGCGGCTGCCTGGCAAACGTAAGGTCATGAGTTCGATGCCCGGTACCGCAGGAAAAAAAATGGAAGATAGGCAACTCTAGTTGGGGCATTAAATTCTTTCAGCTGCCCAGCGGCTTTGTGGCGTGTGTGTGTGACTTCCTGTATTCTGTAATCTGCTCTGGCCAGGTGAACCTCACGTGGATGGGGAGCCTGGAGACTTACGGTTCCGAATCAAAGTTGTCAAGTAAGTAGTTGAATTTTAGAGGCTACTTAAGCCCTGCTTTCCACATGACTCAGATTGTAGAGATATATGCAGACTTTTTCCTCTGTTTTTCTCCGTTATATCATAAGCACTTACTTATTCATAACTCTACAACAGTACTGCAGATTGGGGATTGGGATTGAGCCCCAAGTGTTTGTTGACATAAGACTTATAAATCTGAGAGATGGTGGAAGGAAGGAATCGAAACATCAGGAACTGTTCTCAAGGTTAGCATGAAAGGGAGCCAAAGAGCTGGTGAACTGCGGCACCATTCAAGAATAGAGGCTTTTCCATAGAGATGACCGCCTGTTACATAACACGCAGCCGCTCCATTTGTAGGCTCCTCTCAACATCATGTGCTGCTTGGACAGTGGTTTTGCCCAGAACTTTGGCTTCTTTGTTTATTATTTCTCTCTCAGTTAGAAACCAGAGATAGTTCTCATCTAAGGGTTCCTTAAAACAAGCTTCCCACTGGAATATGGAGAAATAGCCTCCCTCTCGGAAGACTTCCCCTCTTGTCAGTGATCTTTCCCCAGCTTTTCTTACCTCCCTGCCCTTCTCATCACTTCCCCGAGAAACTGGAGCGTGTGCTGTGCCCTCGGGAGGCTCGGTACCTTCCCAAGTCCTGATCTTGGCCAAACTCCCTCTCCCCCGGTCCCCCGTTCCCTGTCCCCACCTTACCTGCATGTCTAGTCCTCACCTGGCCTCAGGACTCCAGCTCAGAAAACCATCACAGACCTGCTGCTGATTCCCACCTCTCCAGCCTCTGCTGCTAAACGTTACTGCTTTTTCATAACCTAAAAACTGGGAATTTTCCTTACATGTTTTGGTTTCTGCTGATTGTAACTTCCTTATGTATGCGGTTCAGTAAGACACACAGCTTGGAGGTCTCGGTGCTGTACATAAGTGTGTCTAATAAACGCTTGTTGTTTGAAAGATTTACCTTGTTTTAATTTTAGGCACCGAATATTTGAAAGAAGAGGAGATGATCTGTACACAAATGTGACAATCTCACTAGTTGAGGCTCTGGT